TTGGCACTGTGTTTTGATGGATGAATTGATTGGATTTTCGGATTAATGCATGACAACTTGTTTGCGACTAGGACAACCTATGATGAGGACTGAGATGTGCAGTAGAACGATTTAGAGGTTCAGTTTTCCAACTGTTTGCTTGCCAACTGTGACTTGATCTGACTTGATCTGATTACTTGTTCTTGACAGTCGTTTATGCATCTAGTTCAGGGTATCAGAATGTGAGATAGAGCATATAGGTAGCCATGTGAGATTTGAGCCTGCTCGTTTCTTTCTTGTGCGATAGATCCCTCTTCCATGATGTGTAGCATTCACGTTGTCACTAGCTAAGATGATGGGGGCATAGGATTAGCCCACGCCCAAAACTGACTGTCCTGATGTGTCATATCCCCTAGTCAGCCCCTTTGAGCCGTGTGTTATCCTTTCTTTTGGTCTATAATGGAAAAAATCACCCTTGTTGCATCTTTTAGAAGGTTCCACAGAGTGGTTTTTACATATTCTCTGCTGTTTCTGCTACAGTCTATGTGAGTGTTGGAGGTAGTGCTTAAAAGTTGGGCAGGTATTTGAAATATGCAGAAGTGGTGGCTCTCTTAAGAAATTAAAAGAAAAATGAAAGAAAAATAAAGAAAAAGAAATTGAAAGCAAAAGAGAGCCACTGCCAAAAATCTGAATAAATGCTGATGTTTATGCCTCCTTCGCTCTTGTGCTCTTAAGATATTGAGTAATGCAGAATAGCAGAAAGAAAATACCAGGTTGTTTGACTGTGATTGTGTGTTTGGAAAATGTGGAACCTTTTGCTATGAATACTTCCACCACCTAAAAGGCCTTTTCCCCATGTCCAAGACCCTAGCCAGTCATTTGAACCTGTGTCTAAGACCTTCTGATTAGTTAGTGGTGACACCCCATATGTGAACTCTAGCATTTAGAGGCTGCCATCATGGTGAAGAGATGATAGGGATTGAGAGAAATAGCATGCGCATCTTTCGCATCAAATTGTACTGACCCCACTGGTCGAGAGTGAGTGATTCATTTTCATTTTCTATATGCTCTTGTACCCCGGTGAGGACCTAGATTGCTCGGTCTCTATTCTGATGTCTTGAGTTGGATGCATGAGTTGACTGTTTTGAGTAAGTGGTTGAATCAAGTCTAGGTTGGCCAGTGAACAGAAGGGAGACTCTTCCTTTACTCGATTTGCTGCACTCGAATGTCCTTTGTGGTGGTTGTCCAGGTTGTTATTGAGGTTGCGCATGTATTGATGTTTGAAAACCAGTGCGATTCACGTGTTTTGTGCCTTTATGACTTGTCCCCAATGTTGGTTGATTGAAATTTGTAAGCTTACCTAGTGTCTGACTTGGTTTGCTTGGGGACAAGCAAACGGTTAAGTGTGGGGGAGTTTGATAGACCGTCATTTACACATGTTTTTACCCTCATACTTACACCGTTTGAGGTGTTGATTCTCGTGTTTTAGGCTGATTTCACGCTAGGTTGTGCTTGTTTGTGATATTTCAGGTCCTAGTACGTGAATGAAGGCTTAGGAGCGAGTCTGGGGTTGATTGGACGACGAACGGACGAATGGCGAGCCTTTTGGAGAGCTGCACGGGCAGACCAGGGAGGCTGCACGGCCGTGCAATATGCAACTCTGGCCGTGCGCCTTATGCCGAGGAGCTGCACGGGCACCCCTGAAGATCTGCACGGCCGTGCACCTGGCCGTGCAGGATGGTTGAAGGCCGATTAAGTGAAACGGTGCGTTTCAGGGTGCACGGCCAGAATGGTGATGTGCACGGCCGTGCACCTGGCCGTGCAACTCGGGAAAGTCGGTTTTAAAGCCTAATCCGAGCCAGAAGTGGGAGAATCGTTTTTCAGAGCAAAAACAGAGCCCTAGAGAGAGAAAGTGCGAAGAACACATCCTAGAAGCTGTCCTAGAGCTGGATTTCATCGAATCGAGCCTGGAGATCGTCATAGGAGTGGAAATCATCGTCCCGGAGCATATTATCCTCATCGTTATGAGTATGACTAATCCGATTCTAGTTTTCTCTTCTCTCTCTATGGAGTAGAACCCTTCTCTCACTTGGGTATGAAGAACCCTAGTTCCTTGTGTTAGGGATTTGATTGTAATGACTTGGGATGATATTACTGTTTGATTTTAATCGAATGACGCATGTTTAATGAATTGATTTGAGTCTGATCAACTTTTCTCAATTTCTACTGCAACCTGAGATAGATAGAATCTGATTAGGTTGTTAGAGCCTCTTCATTCGATAGTAGGAGATTGGCTATACGAGAGTTAGCCAGTTTACTGCTTTGTACTGGTGTTCTTGGCGCCAGTAGTGGAGTTCTGTGTTCATAGCCTCAGCTTTCTATCCCGGTGAAGACTAGTCGTCTGCCGGGTAGTTAGACTGAGAGGGCTTGGTCAGCTTAAGAGATTCCAAGCTACTGTCGGATCTTCCGCAGTCTAATCAACAGTAAATCAACCCAGGGAATTGCAATTGAACCTAACTAAGGGGCTAGGGGGACTCAATCCCGAGTGACTCTTGCCTGCTTTAGAAACCCGAACAATTTACTGCTTTCTTGTTGCTTTTACTTTTCACAACAATCACTCGACTTAGTTTGCTAGATAATAGAGAATCACGGAGTAAGCAGTAGATCTAGACCCCGGGTTGATAATTAAACTTGCCTATACTGCAGTCCCTTTCATTGGTTACACTTGGCCATTGTTAGGTGTTGTGTTTTAGCGTGTCACCCATCCTGTTTTCAATCATTCGTTGGTCTAGTTCCATCGTATTATCAATTGTTTTTTGGGCTAGCCAATTGGATTTTCTTTTTACATCTTTGCTGTAGTGTTCTTCACCGTGGAATAGATGGACTCCAAACCAAAATTTGAGTCTTTGGTATAATTGAACAATGCCGTTAAAAGCGCGATTCTACCTAGAAGCGGAAAATAGGTAAAATCGTAAAACGTAGAATTAAAGCGTAAAAGCATAAGTTTTTGACGCACCCTCTAAAATAGCTAAAATATGTTAAGTACAACATATAGTATGTAAATTGTGAGTGTGTAGATTTTAGATAAGTGAATAACTACATGAAATTCATAATTAAAATGTAATATCTAACACAAACTAATTTGTGTTGACTCAAAAGTAGAGAAAACTCATCACATATTAATAATAAGCTCATAAATGTATATCGTAACCCGTAAACGAGCTTTAGAATCCAAATTCTCATAAGCTGGTTTGAGTTTACATAATTACATAAGATCAATTACCAATAAACTTTTATCGTAACCCAGGTAAGAGCCACAGGTGAAGATTAAGGGAGAAGACTGATAGAAGGTTAGAGAATACCATTAGGTGTTTTTTCAACCTAATGTGAAGCCCCTATCTCGACACTAGTTGTAGAACGAGAGATGAATCATGTTCTCCTTTTTTTTATTTTTTGCTGTTATGTTTCCAAAATTACATCATTTTGGGCCAATTAGCACATTTTTAGATGATCAAAATCGTATGAAAACGCTTCAGAATCGCGATTTTACTGATTTTAAGCGATTTTACCCATGTTTTTACCAGTTTTTGTGACTAAGCGACTTTAGGTAGAAACTGAAACGTTTTTGTGACCTAGATACGTAAAAACGTAAGTTTTTACGTTTTAATGTGCGATTTTGACTGCACTGTAATTGAATTGAAGTTTTGATGTTATATCCAACGAAAAAATGTTTTGAGCTTACGAGGTATATGAGTCTCTTTATTTGAGGTTTGGTTAAAAGAAGATAGTCACAACTTGGCGCTCCCAGTTTATACCTATCCCCTCCACGGTCACAATTAAATAAATTCTTATATTATTTTTTACTCATTTTTATCAACGAACTGCACATAGATGAAAATGGTGTTCTTTGTCTCGCACAAGAGTTTGACATAGTGAATGAATGACGTTATAATAACCTTACACAATTCTAGCCCGGAAATCTCATCCCTACCACAACCATCATACGAACAACACAAGCATGGTATTTCTCTTCACATGATTAAAATACCTATTACCTAGTGAATGTCATCGAATTTGGTTATTTGTCTAGGCATGTAATTGTAGCAAAACGATTGGATTCAACTACTGAATCTCATTATCGGTTTCTCCATAATTGACTTAACTTGTAAGTTGTAACACAATCAATGTTTCAATGAAGTACCCTTTGTTGCTAAAACAAAAGGACAGTACTCAAAATAAAAATCGTGAGTAACATGTGGTGGTGATCTATCCTACAGTCCAAAGTAATGCACAAATATACTATTGAGATTTTCACAATGCTGATTTTTAACATAACCAAGTATCATAAACTAATGATGATGAACATCATGTTTCCCATGTTGCAAACAAGAAGCAAAACAGTCACTTGGTTCCTTTTCATGGATTTACATAATCAGTTTCCTTCTATTGTGTTAAGGGTCCAAATTGTCATTTTATGACTCCATGATCTATAAATTACAGAAGGAGGTAACCAAAGTTCTTCACATTTGACCAACCATAACCACAGTTGAATAAAGGCAATAACATACATGACTACATTGAGATTTCCCTGTGATGTGTTGGTTACTTGCATGAAGTTGATCATCAGTGTTAATATTTTTGCTACTATATATGTATACAGATTACAGAAGCAAACATGATATACCTGGAATCTCCTGCTGGAGTTGGTTTCTCATACTCACAAGATCCATCATTCTACAACTCTGTGAACGATACCATAACAGGTTTTCTAAACTGAAATCCGATTATCAGAATGCGATTATGTTTTTATCTAATCGATCTTCTCATCTATCTCTTGATAAAATCTTTATGTTATCAGATCATGATAACTTGGTGCTTCTCCAACAATGGCTACTCAAGTTCCCACAATACAAGAACAGAGATATGTTCATCGCGTGAGAGAGTTATGTGGGTAATTAACTAACTTGTAGGGTTGCCAAAAGTAGATTCAGATTATATGTTATAAGATAAGACTAATTGAGTACACTCCCCCATTTTCTCAAACAGGACACTATGTCCCACAACTGGCTCAATTAATCGTGAAGTCGGGATCCAATCTCAGCTTGAGAGCCATAGCTGTAAGTTTCAATAACTCAAGTTATCAGCCAAATGACAGTGACAATGTTCTAGAGTAATGTATGCACTTCGTGTAACAACTTTTTGTGTTGCAGATAGGGAACCCGACATTAGAGTTCGACACAGACTTCAACGCGGAAGGGCAGTTCTATTGGTCTCACGGCTTGATTTCAGACGATACCTATAACCTCGCCAACACAGCCTGCAACACTTCACGGCTCAAGAGACAAGCCGTGTCAAGGAACTTGTCTGATTCCTGCAAAATCGTTGCAGCGCAACTTCATGCTCAAATTCCTGACCACGACTTCGATACGCATGATGTCACCGCCGATTTCTGTTTATCAAAACCTGGATCGAACTTTGTGTTGGTTGAGTCAAGCGCGAGACTACAGCGTCGATTTCACTGATTCTAGCTGCTATTGCAGGCTTTGCTGGAAACCTAACTTTCTAAAACAAGAACTGAAATAGAACAGAGTATGAAGAAAAGGAAAACAAGTTTTGATCGTGAAATGCACAGCCAATTACACAAAGATATGTTTATGGGTTCTGGATTCTATATGTCTTAATGGACTCTAGTTCTCTCACTTAAGCCCACGTAGATTAGTGTGTGATTTATAGATTAAATTCAGTAGGCCTAGTAAACTTTCAAAGAAACAAATACCAGCCCACTTATACCACTAACCGAAACACACAGCAAGTAGAACGCTGCCGTTCTTACTCTAACTTCAAGTTCCTCCCTTCAACGATTTCAAATCGTAAATTACTTCCCCTGCATCTTAGTTGGGAAGAACAGCCAAGAACAGAATACGAACTGAAAAACATAGTATTAGAAATGCAGCCGCCCAAATATGGTGCAAACACAAAACACACAGGATTTTTACGTGGTTTCCAGTGTTGAGAAAAATACTCAACACTGACTACTCCACGGTCGGAGATTCACGATCGTGTGATCTCCGACGATCTACTAAGGATATAACTTGAAGCTCGTTGAGTACAGATTACACTCGATCAACCTCCCCGGCCAATCGAACAGATTCTAACCCTGTTGATCAACTCCCCGCCAATCAACAACCCAGTATTTCCCCAATATTGATCGCAAGCTATCTCCCCGATGGCTTGAACCCTTTTCCTATCAAACTACCCACAGCAGATACTGAAAACTTCCTTTGGAAGGTTTGTAAAGAAAAGTAAAAGGAGGAAGAAGAAATGGGGAATCCTCAGGGTGTTCCAGATTTACTGTTTACACAACGGTAAAGATGGCGTGGCGGCTCGCCATTTGTCTAACAGAAACTAACTTTACTACATAAAACGACAGCGTAGTTAAATGAAAGACAGACAAATAAAATGAAACGTTTTCTTCTTCTTCTCTTCGAAACTCCCTTCAGCTCCAGAGTTCTTCAGCCATATGAAGTTCGATCTTCTCCTTTCCTTTGCTGTTCTGAGCAGCTTGTTCTTGTGAATTCAGGTCAATCAATCCTTTGGATCTTGTCACGCCTCCACAAGTTGGCGCGTATACATTTAATACGTCCAACTTGCCAAGTAAATAGTTCAATCTGTACCTGCTCAGACCCTTAGTAAACAAGTCAGCTAGCTGTTCTTCACTTCTGACAAACTTCAGCTTAATAAGGCCAGATTTCACTCTTTCCCTAATCACATGGACATCTATTTCAACATGTTTAGTTCTTTCGTGATACACTGGATTCTCTGCAATTTGAATTGCAGACATGTTATCACAATAAACCAGTACTGGAGTCTGTATCTTAACATCCAATTCAGCAAGCAACCCTTTAAGCCACTGAATCTCACAAACCAGATGTGCAAGTGCTCTGTATTCAGCCTCTGAAGACGATCTGGACACAGTGGTCTGTTTCTTTGCCTTCCATGTTATCAAAGATCTCCCTAGAAAGGTACAATAGCCTGAAATTGACCTTCTAGTGTCAGGACATGCTGCCCAATCAGCATCACTATAGGCTTTTAAAACCAAATCTGAATTAGCCTTAAAGTGTAACCCTTGACCTGGTGCTCCCTTTAAATATCTGATCACTCTATAAGCTACTTGCAAGTGTGTATCCCTTGGTTCCCTTTGGTATTGACACAATTGCTGGACTGGAAATGCAATGTCAGGTCTGGTTATTGTCAAGTAATGTAGCCTGCCTACAAGCCTCTTATAGATGCCTGGATCTTCCAGTAACTTTCCTTCTCCTGCACTCAGCTTTACTTTGCAATCAATAGGGCTCTTACAGCTCTTAGCATCTAAGTATCCTGTTTCAGCAAGTAAATCCATGCAGTACTTCCTTTGGGAAACAGATATCCCAGTTCTGTTTCTTGTTACTTCCAATCCCAGGAAGTATTTCAAACTTCCCAAATCCTTTATCTTGAAATCCCTTTTCAGGAACCCTTTCACTGACTCCAAATCACCTAGTCTAGGCCCTGCAAGGATTATATCATCCACATATACCAAGACAATAACAATTCTTCCCTGTACCCATCTAATAAACATAGAATAGTCAGAGGAAGATTGTGAGAAACCATTTTTAAGCAATGATCCAGTCAATTTAGCAAACCACTGTCTGCTGGCCTGCTTTAATCCATAAAGGGACTTCTTCAGTTTGCAAACCATCCCTTGTGAACTGCCTTCAATAGGAAAACCTTGTGGCAGTTGCATATAAACATCTTCTTCCAAGTCTCCATGCAGAAAAGCATCGGAAACATCTAATTGATGTAAATGCCAGTCCTTTGCTGCTGCTACTGCTAGCAGTGTTTTGACAGAATTGTTCTTGGCAACAGGAGAAAATGTGTCCAAGAAATCAATCCCATAGACTTGAGTAAAACCTTTTGCCACTAACCTGGCTTTAAACCTTTCAACACTACCATCTGACTTTAGCTTAATCTTGTAAACCCACTTACATCCTATTGCTTTCTTCCCTGCTGGCAACTTCACAAGTTCCCATGTTTGGTTTTCAATGAGTGCTGCAAGTTCCTCTTGCATAGCATTTCTCCAACACTCTTCTTCATTAGCATCCTCAAAGGAAGTTGGTTCCACCATGGTTACCATATTGACTGCATAATTCTTACTATTCTCAGTAAGCAATTCATATCCAACCACATCTGTTATGGGATACTTGGTCACTATTCCCAGATAACAGTCTTTTAACCTGGCAGGTAAGACAATGTTCCTTTGAGGTCTCCTTCTAACAGGTTCTTCTTCATGTTCTTCTGGTTGTTGAAGTTCAACCTCTTCCTCTTCCATACCTGCAGAATCATCAGTCTCATGCACATAGATATCATCATGAGATGCATCAGGTATATTGCTTTCAGGAAGGGAAAGCTCTTTGGAAGGACTACTGACATGACCCTGACCAGAAGGACTATTGACATGACCCTGACCAGGAGGACTACTGACATGAACCTGATTAGAAGGTATGGTAATAGAAGGTGACTCATTAAAAGAAGGTGTTGGCAGTGAAGGTATAGAAGGAGATGGAAACAAGGGTGCAGAATAATCCTTCTCCTGTTGATTGTGATTTGCAACTTGTGTTTTGAAAGGAAAGATGTCTTCATAAAATGTAACATCTCTAGATATCAAGAATTCATGTTTGTTCAGATCAAAGAGTTTAAAACCCTTTATTCCAGCAGGAATGCCAAGGAAAATACATTGCCTAGCTCTAGGATCAAGCTTAGTTCTTCCTGGAGTAATGCTGGCAGCATATGCCAAGCAACCAAAGACTCTCAAATGGCCTAAAAATGGAGGTCTTTGGTATAGAATTTCAAATGGAGACTTATTATTTAGAACTGGAGTTGGAAGTCTGTTAATGATAAAAACAGCATGGAGAACACAATCACTCCAAAAATTGAGAGGGACACCTGAATGAAATCTCAATGCGCGAGCAACATTTAAAATATGTTGATGCTTGCGCTCTACCCTCCCATTTTTTCAGGTGTGTAAGTGCAGGACATCTGATGTTCAATGCCTTGACTTAGGTAAAATTCACACATGTAGAACTCCTTTCCTTGGTCACTCCTTATGGTTTTAACAGGTTTACCAAACTGTGTTTTAACCATGTTACAGAAGCCTATTAACAAATCTCTTGCTTCTGATTTCTGTTTCATCAGGTATACCCAAACTGCTCTAGAAAAGTCATCCACGGCAGTTAAGAAATAATAATAACCATCATGTGAATTGATTGCCAATGGTCCCCAAATATCAACATGGACAAGAACAAAAAGATCTGATGCAACAGATTCACTCAAAGGAAAGGGTAATCTCTTTTGTCTTGACAAATGACAGTGTTCACAGTGTTTGAGTTTCTCTATAGGAAGTGAAGGATTACATTTGTTTAAAAGGATAGTACTACTATTACTAGGGTGGCCTAATCTCCAATGCCACAATTCAATCTTCTGGGGCTCGAAATTGTAAACAGAAGCAACTTGAGATGTATTGAAAGAGGTGACTTGGGAAGGTGTGGTTGCATCTGGAATGAAATGATATAAGCCTCTACTCTCTTTTGCCAAACCAATCATCCTGCTGTTCACTAGGTCCTGGACATGACAGAGATTAGATTGAAAGATAAGTGAGATTGGTAGGTCGTGTGTAAGCTTACTGACAGAGACTATATTGAAGGTGAAGCTAGGTACTAAGAGGACATTGTGGAGGAATAACTGTGATGACAGTCTAACTGAACCAACATGTGAGACTGGAACTTTTGCTTTGTTTGGAAGGTAGACAAATACATCAACAACAGGTCTATATTTGTCAAACAGAGAAAGAGAACAAGCAATATGGTCTGATGCACTAGTATCAAATATCCATGTATATTGAAGAGTCTTATGATTCTGACAGGTTGAAAGGACATACATACCTCCATAATTAGGGAATTGTGGCAGATAGTTAGTCACTGAGTGTGACCTGTGGTTCACTGCAGGGCTCTGAGGAGATGTTGGTGTGTTGGAACTGGAAGATTGAAGAAATCCTCTCAGTCTGTGTATCTCTTCAGCAGTGAAACCACCAGCAGCAGGACTAGAGTGACTCCCAACTTCAACTTGTAACTGCCTTTCCCCTTCTGAATCTGATTCATGACCAACTGCTCCAGAAAACCTGTTATATTGTCCTCCTTCTTTGTTCTGATTCTTCCTTTTCAGCCTCCAACAATCCTTAATTACATGGTTTGTCTTCTTGCAGTAGTTGCAAAACAACTCCCCTGTCTCAGCTCCACTTCTGTCACTGCCAGCTCTTTCATTGAAATTCCTGTTCGACCCCTTGGAAGAGGTGCCTGCTGATGAGTTATTGGAAGAACCAGCTGCTAAAGCAACTGATTGTCCAGTCTTGCTTCCATTTCTGTTCCCATCAGCTTTGAGCTTCTGTTCATGCTGCAGCAAGTCATGAAATGCTTGAACCACTGTTGGTAAT